ACCAGCACCGAGAGCAGCAGGCTCTATACCTGGGTCAGGCGGTACGCAGAGGTAACAGGTACGGTTAGCACTAGTAGGCAATGCATACATGGCAGTGAGAATAGCATCATAGTCAAGAGCAAATATATCTACCCTCTGCCCAAGCAGCTCCACCCAGTCGGGGAGCTCAGCCTCGTCGCCAAACTCGGTACGCCAGGCGTCACTCAGACGGGCGAAGCAGCGGGACTGGGTGTGACTAAGCGTCCCGCAAGTCTGACCCGTCCGATCACCTGTGCGAATGACGTACGGGCAGCGAACGGTACTCAAAGACCCTCTACTCTGAGCATACCACTCGTGAAGCTGCTGGGACGTAAGTGTCTCGCGTGGACACCGCTGCAGCTGCAGCTGGCCACTGCCAGACGCTCCCAACTGACCAGCTCCAGGGCGACAGCTACGACGACTACCGCCACAACCCCAACTAGCGTACCACTCACGAAGCTGCTGGGGCGTGAGAGACTCGCGCGGACGTCGCTGGAGCTGCATCTGGCCACCGCCAGTACCAGTAGCAGTAGCCTAGCAGAGCAGGCGTGGCAGGCAGGCAGGCAGGCAGACAGGCAGGCAGGCAGGCAGGCAGGCATGCAGGCAGGCAGGCAGGCAGGCAGGCAGGCAGACAGGCAGGCAGGCAGGCAGGCAGGCAGGCTGGCAGGCAGGCAGATGGCGCGGCAGCGCGCTAACAAGGCTGATACTCACCAGTGGCGGGAAGAGCAGGCGTTCGCCGGGCGAGCAGGGCCGGCGCTCGGCGGGCGGCTGCACGGGGTCCAGGGGCGGCGTCGCGGGTCCAGGGGCGGCGTCCCGGGATCCAGGGGCGGCTGCTTCAGGGGCCAGGGGCGGCTGCTCTGGGTCCAGGGGCGGCTGCTCGAGGGTCCAGGGGCGGCTGCACCAGGGGCGACTGCTTCAGGGGCCGGGGGCGGCTGCTCCAGGGGCGGCTGCTGCAGGGGCCAGGGGGGGCTGCTCTGGGTCCAGGGGCGGCTGGACCAGGGGCCAGGGGCGGCTGCTCGGGGTCCAGGGGCGGCTGCTCCAGTTGCGGCTGCTGTAGGGGCCAGGGGCGGCTGCTCTGGGTCCAGGGGCGGCTGCTCGAGGGTCCAGGGGCGGCTGCACCAGGGGCGGCTGCTTCAGGGGCCAGGGGCGGCTGCTCTGGGTCCAGGGGCGGCTGCTCGAGGGTCCACGGGCGGCTGCACCAGGGGCGGCGTAGCTGGTGCTGGGCAGCGCGCGGGTCCCACAGGCGCCGCGACTGGCGACGGGGGGGCAGCGCGCAGGCCAGGCGGGGCCGCGTCGGCGGCAGGGTGGGGCCGCGACCGCGGCAGGGCGAGGCCGCGTCGGCGGCCGTAGAAAGCAGTGCGAGGGCTGCGAAGCGACGCGCGGGGCAGGAGAAGGCAGCGCGGGGGCTGCGGAGCGGTGCGTGGGCCTGACAGGGCAGCTAGCGGGCTACGCGCGGGGCTGACGAGGCAGCAGGCGGGCTGCTAGCGGGATGTACGAGGGCCAGCAGAGGCGAGCGCGAGGGCTGTGCGACGCAGGGCAGTGTAGGCAAGGGGCGGGGTAACTCGGTAACCGGCGGAAAACGGTTGGTGGGCCCTGAAAAACAGTCATAAAACGGTCCTAAGGACCTATGTTGCTCTTAATACCATGTCGAGAGTAAAGGGAAAAAGTTGGTGCACTATCGAGAAAGTTGGGTACAAGTAACAAAAAACTATACCCTACATTAGCTACCCCACTAAAGCCTACATTCTATTATGACATAGGCATATAATTTGACAACCGTAACAGCTGGAGGTTATGCGAAGGTCAAAGGTCGCTGACCTTTGACTCGACGAAATATACAGTACGACAGCAAGGACACATAACTGACTCGATACTGAGCAGGATAAAGGTGAACTCGTATGGCCCCGGATATAGGCGCCGTCCGATTAAAGGTGCCGGCGCTTATATCTGGAGCATGGCGCTTATGGCCGAAACTCGATTATAAGCGCCCCCCCTGTAAACCCTTTACTTATTATAAGCGCACATACAGTTTTAATTTGAAATCATGTTTAAAATGGTAACGATATTACTTTCGGCAACGAGTCTTTTTTCAATTTCGCTTCGTTTGACTTGCGAAGACCTGACTGGCTGCGCGTCCAGTGGCATGATGTGTCTTTGCCTCTGTGTGTTGGCAGAATCTCGTTTGCGCGCGATTCTGCTTTGTGATGCTAAAACATTTCGCCTCGGTTGAAATGGCAAGAATAAAATGTACAATCTGGTGCTCTAAATATATATATTTGTATTTGTCATTATATAAGCGCCGGCGCTTATGCCCAAAACTCATTTAGAAGCGCCTCCCTTAAAAAAATCAATTTTATTATAAGCGCACGTGCGCTACTATCCGGGGCCATACGGTATCTTCTCAGCCCAACATTGAGTTCTCTCCTTGCCTTGTTTATACACTTTACATATACCGCCTCCGTGAACTCTTGAACTAGCCTTGTGGCTCTTTTGCTTGTGCTTTGTTTCTATGTGACTGGTCTTGTGACTGTACACTTCTGGTTTTGCTTGACACCCCTCACTTAGACTATGGGGGTGTGTCAAATGTTGTAGTCTTAGTGATGTGTGTCATAGGGGGTACAACTGTTAGGGTTAGGTTTATGTACCCCTGTCAGAAGTAGTAGGAGTACGGCCTAGGCTTAGTAGCCTAGGCCACAGTAGGACTAGTAACGAGGAGCCAAGTACGAGCTAGGAATGTGTGTGGGAACAGAATTGAGAAGGAATGATTGAACTAGCAAGCAGCAGGATACAAATGGCAAACCCTAAGGGGCTGTACTCACTATAGAGTACCCCACTGCAGGCTACACAAACAACATATTCTGACACACCCCCATAGCCAAAGTGGGGTGTAATCAGCACAATGAGCAGTCATAGCAATAGTTCATAATTATCAGCAAAGCTAGAGGCTATCACAGAGGGCAAGTGAGGAGGAGGAGGGACTATGAAAGGAGAGAAGATGGGAGGCGACGACTGAAGCTGCAGACACACGGGCAACAGAAGCGGCTGACACAGTGGCGGCTGACACAGTGGCTACCGAGACAGAGCGCCCCGGAATACTGGAGTAACTGGCTCTGCGGCTACGACGAGCGGCAGAAACAACGGACCCACGGGCGACTGGTGCAGCAGGCTCTCAGTGGCTACCGAGACAGTGCGTCCCGGAATACAGGAGTAACAGGCTCTGCGGCTGCGACGAGCGGCAGGAGCAACGGACCCACGGGCAACAGGTGCAGCAGGCTCTCTGAGCTACCAGGACAGTGCGCCCCGGACTACAGGTGCTGCGGACGACAAGACAGCAGCCTCCACTCAACCTCCCCCAACAGTCCCACACCCCTCTCACACACCCCCTGTTTCACCCCTAGCTCCATTCCCACATCACCCCCCTAGTGCCACTCCCCACGACTCCCACACCTCCACCCCCCTCAGCGGCAGCTGCAGCAGTGGGAGACGAAAAAGGAGGAGGGGAGAACCCACACCTCTCACCCCCATGCTCGCCACCCCACACCCCAACCACCGCGGAACGCACGGTGGAATGGGAGCAATGGGCAGCACGGGGGGGGGGGGGGGGTGACGGGCTTCTGCAGGGGCGGCAGCTGCAGGTGCGGGCTGCTCCAAGGGCGGCTGCTGCAGGTGCGGGCTGCTCCAGGGGCGGCTGCTGCAAGTGTGGGCTGCTCCAGGAGCGGCTGCTGCAGGTGCGGGCTGCTCTAGGGGCGGCTGCTGCACTGGCGGGCGGCTCCAGGGGCGGCTGCTGCAGGTGCGGGCGGCTCCAGGGGCTGCTGCTGCAGTGGCGGGCGGCTCCAGGGGCGGCCGCGGGGGGGGAAAACGCACGGCCCCCAGGGCGCCCCGAGGGGCGACGAGAAGGGAGCCGCGCGGCCCCCCCCGGGGCGCCGCGACGGGCACCAGGGAGGGCGCCGCGACGGGCCCCCAGAGCCACCTCGACGGGCGACGGGGAGGGCGCCGCGCGGGCCCCCCGAAGTCGCCTCGACGGGCGACGGGGAGGGCCGCGCACGGCCCCCGAAGTCGCCACGACGGGCGACGGGGAGGGCGCCGCGCACGGCCCCCGAAGTCGCCTCGACGGGCGACGGGAGGGGACCGCGCGCGGCCCCCGTGGTCGCCACGACGGGCGACTGGTGGGGAGGCCGCGCGGGCCCCCAAGGTCGCCTCGACGGGCGACGGGAGGGGAGGCCGCGCGGGTCCCCGAGGTCGCCTCGACGGGCGACGGGGGGGGAGGCCGCGCGGGTCCCCGAGAGCGCCTCGACGGGCGCTTCGACGGGAGGGGACCGCGGAGGCCCCCCCAAGGGCACCACGACGGGCGCCACGGAAGGGAAAACCGCCAGGCGCCCCGAGCGCGCGGCGGGCAGAAATTAGGGTTTCGCCGCCGCGCACCACGGGGCGCGCGGCGGACAGTACGGCAGCGGAAGCGGGTGGTGGGCCCATACACAGGAAGGCGGCAGACATGCCGCCCTCTGATACCATGTCAGAAGTAGTAGGAGTACGGCCTAGGCTTAGTAGCCTAGGCCACAGTAGGACTAGTAACGAGGAGCCAAGTACGAGCTAGGAATGTGTGTGGGAACAGAATTGAGAAGGAATGATTGAACTAGCAAGCAGCAGGATACAAATGGCAAACCCTAAGGGGCTGTACTCACTATAGAGTACCCCACTGCAGGCTACACAAACAACATATTCTGACAACCCCAACCAACCTTAGTCAAACAAAACACTTTCATTCTTGACACCACATTGGTCTTGCCAACTTTGCAGTTCCTTACATACCCTTGACTTTCCTGACCACCACGCAATCTGAGGGGTCTTAAGAAATGCTGTAATTAATCCGCTAAAGCTAAATTGTGCAGATGCCAGGTTACCATAAGAGATTACGGTATGCTGTTGAAGCAAGCAGCTACACACGGACCATCCCATGCATGTCTTAGCATAGCACATCCTTCTTACAGTATCAGTTGGCCCCACAACTGATGGTACAATGAAACCTGTAAACCACAAGCCAAAAAGGAGGAAAACAACGAATGACCCCAGCATGCAAAAGGAGAGTGAAAGGGGACAGGAGGATAAAGGTCGGAGTATAGGGCACGAATGACATACGGCGGGAGAGGGGAGGCGGGGAAACGGGGAACGGGGCGTGGAGGGGGAGAGAGGATGACGGCAGCATGCAGAGGCCAAGAGGATACAAAACGAGGCATTAGGAGAATACACAAGAAGGCAGTTTAGGAGCATGAAGAAGCGAAAATAAGAATTTATGGCAACAGATGATCAGCTGCAGTGCACATCTAAAATATGGCGAACACTTTGATATGCCGGACCTGAAGAGCGTGGAGGAGACGTTTCAAGCCCATGTTGCTTGAGACGATAGGATAATCCCAACGATGACCCCGAACAGCCCAAGCGCACTACCAAAGATCTCAATAACGAGGATCTTCACGAATAACGTCGAGTTCTGCGCGTCCGACAAAGCACAGCTGCTGCCGATAATGCCCACACACAACCTGCACACGCCGACCTCGTGAAACATCATGAGCAGACCATTCCATCCCAAATGACCAGGGGTTGGGAAGCAAGTCGAATGCGTTCGTGCTGGTAGGTTATATTTTGTGGTTGACCATTTAGGTTGCAGAGTCTGGAAACAGGGACTTACCCACAAAAAAGGTTCGCGAGACCCACGATGATGCCGGAGTTGAAGATGGCGTAACCAGAGCGGAGCGCTTCAGGCGAGTGCAATCTCGCCTTGCTGACGGATTCCAACTTCGTTTGCAGAATGATGGCGACAATAACGCCGTAAATCGCTACGGCCTCACAGAAAATAACGCTGACGGGAGGCGAAGGACGAAGACCAATGAAACATGTAAGGTCACGGATTGCGAAAGGAGTGAAGCATAAACCTAAAATGAGAGGCGGACGAGACAGGAGATCCTAACAGCTACCTGATAAGGTTCTTAGACGTGATCCGAGGAGCTTTAATGGCAGCGCCTATTAGACTACTTCCTGTAATCAAGATTCCCCTGCAAACAGCCATTTGAAATAAAAAAATGATGTGACTAGCTGTCCAGTTGCGAAACGAGTGGAGCAGATCCAAAGCGGTAGCCTTGCCTACCATGCTGCACCCAGGACGGAAACGCCGATGGAAATGGCGATACCAATGGCGGCGTAAGCATACGGTGAGATCTGCCAAAAGGCCTGCTGGAAGTTCTCCCAATAAGTCTCGAGCGACATCGTGACTAACTCGAGCTACGCTCCAACAACGAGGGTCGAAAAACGCTCACTAAGAAACTGCAGTTTCCGTACTGCTGTGACCGTCTTACTGCCTAACGAGATCGTGGAATGGTGCCAGACAGCCGTGCAACGCACAGCAATCCCGTGAAATGGGAATTATTCCTTGTACGTACTTGCTTCAGATGACAAAATGTACCGCTCGTAAGTTCCGCTCTGTGCCTGAAACTGGCATTGATCATCCCAAGGTGAGCCAGAACAGGGGAGGGAGGTCGGGGATGAGCGGGATTGAGAAGGGGTGAGCAGGGGTGAGCGGAGATGAGAAGGGGTGGGCAGTGTGCACCAAGGTGCAGGAAGATGGCTGAGGTCAGCGATGAGGGCCCAGGGCTGGGGTGAGGACAAGCGAGGGTGTTTGTGCTGCGAGCGAGCTGGACGCGCGAAGTGCTGCGACTGGTAACTCTTCGGGAATGGGGATGATCAGCAGAGAGGCGAAGGTGTGATGGCACACGCAGCTACGACTTCACGTGAATGTGGGATGTTACAAACAAACCCTAGTCCTCTAGTATAAAAGTTCACAGCTATGCCTGGGAGCACAATTGAATAAGCCACAAAAAGTTGCTTGCTTGGATCATTCGTCCCAGTATCATTATTGCGTATGATTAAAAATAACAGTGTCACAAATAACCTTTACTAGCTACTGCTTCTTCAATCTTTCTCGCCACTTCATCCACAGAAAGGACTCCAAGCTCTGCGCCCTTCCTCGTACGCACATTGAGACTCCAAGACTCCACCTCCCTAGGGCCAACCACAGCCATCACCGGAATCTTCTGAGTCTCTGCATTGCGAATCAGCTTGCCCAGCCTCTCACCACTCGCCACCTCAGCACGAATTCCTCTTTCCAGGAGGGTGGCCACCACTTCCTTGCAGAAGGGCACCTGAAAAAACATTGAAAACAGACAGGGAGGAACAGTAAGACTAGAAGAGTAAGGAGACTGCGCACAGCAGAGCAGCAAGGCGACAATAGCGTCGATGGCTCCGACAAAGGAGGAAAGGGGGGGGGGGAGGGAGGGGGGTGGGAGGTGGGGGGGGTTGGGGGGGAGGGGGGGGGGGGGGAGAGATAAGCGCGTAACAAAGTTTAATCAAAAGAGATACAGTAATGAAGTTACAGACCTCGGAGTCTGTGACTGGCAGCAGGCGCAGCTGAGTGGGCGCAAACCAGAGGGGGAAGTCGCCCGCGTAGTTCTCAATGAGGATGCCAAAGAACCGCTCCAGGGACCCAAAGATGGCGCGGTGGATCATGATGGGCGGGCGGCGAGTGCCGTCCGCATCCGCATAGACCATGTTGAAGCGGTGCGGCAGATTGAAGTCCACCTGGCAGAAGGTTATTGGAGGAAGGGAGTCACGCAGTTCTTATTTTTTATTCAATGGTGTAAAGTTCTTGTTTTTTATTCAATGGTGTAAATAACTCCCTTGCCGTGACATGTGGAGACGTGAAGACATGGAAGTGTGAATCAAAGCGGACCTGGATGGTGGAGCACTGCCACTTGCGGCCAATGGCATCCATGATCTTCACATCTATCTTGGGCCCATAGAACGCTCCTCCACCCTCATCCACGGTGTAATCCCACCCCTTGTCTTGCAGCGCCTCCCTCAGCGCCTGGTGAAATGATTCAGAGGGAAGGACACGACACAAGCAGTGTGTAAACACATAGGCACTGACATATGAACACACTCCCACCCTCATCCACGCTCAACTCCCGTCCCTAGTATGCAGGGCCTACCTCAATGCCTGTTATAGCCATTCAGAGGGAAGAACACAAGCGGTGTGTAAGCACACACACACACACACACACACACACACACACGCACGCACGCACGCACGCACGCACGCACGCACGCACGCACGCACGCACTCACGCATGCACGCACGCACGCACGCACACGCACACACACACACACACACACACATCTATCAATGGACCTCTCTGGCCACGTGGACAGCAGAATATCCAGCTGCTGGAAACCAGAGAGCACACCCGCGAACACATGCACTTCCACAAGCTGCCCTCCTCCATTCGTACCATCCCATCTCCCTACCTGCCAACCCCTCTCTCCCCACCCCCCGCACACAACACCTGAGTGGCCTGCTCCCAAAGAACATCATCCTTAACCATGTTTTCGGGCCGTGTGGAGAGGCTGATCTCCAGCTGCTGGGAGCCAATCAAACCTGCAAAGACATGCCTCTACAAGTGCCTCCCATACCCTCCTACCTGAGTGGCCTGCTCCCAGATGGCGTCATCCCCGACGGATTTCTCCGGGCGGGTGGAGAGGTTTATCTCGAGCTGCTGGAAGCCAAAGAGCACACCCGTGTGCCTTTGCCTGTGCCTGCCCCAACCTACCTGCGTGGCCTGCTCCCAGACTCCCCAACAGACTTCTCTGGCCGAGTTGAGAGGTTGATCTCGAGCTGCTGGAAGCCAAGAGACGTGGGAACACATGCCTCTCCACGTGCCTCCCCTCCCACCCCCCCAGCCTCCCCCTTTCACATGTGCAGCCTGCTGTAACCCCCTTACCTGCGTGGCCTGCTCCCAGATGGCGTCATCCCCGACAGACTTCTCCGGGCGGGTGGAGAGGTTGATCTCGAGCTGCTGGAAGCCAAAGAGCACACCCCTTGTGCCTGCCCTCCCTTACCCGAGTGGCCTGCCTGCTGTCGTAAGCCCCGTACCTGAGTGGCCTGCTCCCAGATGGCATCATCCCCAACAGACTTCTCCGGGCGGGTGGAGAGGTTGATTTCCAGCTGCTGGAAGCCAAAGTCCGTCAGCATCGCCTCTGTGAGGTCCAGCACCCCACGGATCTCGTCCCTGATTTGGGAGGGCAGACAGAAGATGTGTGCGTCGTCCTGTGAATGGGGGGGGAAGAGCGGGGTGGGGGGGTTGGGGAATGGGTGGGGGAGGAGTGGGATGGCGAGGGAGGGCTGAGTGTCAGAATTGCCTCTGTGAGGTCCAGCACGCCGCGGATCTCATCCCTGATCTGAGTTGGCAGACAGAAGATGTGCGCGTCGTTCTGTGTGCGAGGAACGAGGAAGGCAGGGGGGCTGGGAGCCAGGGGGGGAAGAGGCGGGGGATGGCGTGGGTGTGGGTGTGTGAGCATGGCCTCTGTGAGGTCCAGCACACCGCGCATCTCGTCCCGATTTTGAGAGGGCAGGCATAAGATATATGCGTCGTCCTGTGTGGGTGGGTGGGTGGGTGGGTGGGTGGGTGGGTGGGTGTGTGGGTGGGTGGGTGGGTGGGTGGGTGTGTGGGTGGGTGGGTGGGTGGGTGGGTGTGTGGGTGGGTGGGTGGGTGGGTGGGTGTGTGGGTGGGTGGGTGGGTGGGTGGGTGGGTGGGTGGGTGGGTGGGTGGGTGTGTGGGTGGGTGGGTGGGTGGGTGGGTGGGTGGGTGGGTGGGTGTGTGTGTGGGTGGGTGGGTGGGTGGGTGGGTGGGTGGGTGGGTGGGTGTGTGGGTGGGTGGGTGTGTGGGTGGGTGGGTGGGTGGGTGGGTGGGTGGGTGGGTGGGTGTGTGGGTGGGTGGGTGTGTGGGTGGGTGGGTGGGTGGGTGAGGCATGTCACGTGGGATGGACGGGCGGGAATGGCTACTCTCTGTGCTGAAAGTGGCTCCCAGGGCACGGATACTCAGCAGGTGGAAGCGGCCCAAAGCAGAGAGTGCACCCGGGGTAATCCCACTTGAATGATCACCTGAATGACTGCAGCAATGTTACCCGTGAGAATCTTCAAAAGCTACCCCCCAGCGCCACCTTCCCCCCCCTTTACGCCACCCACCCCCTAGCGATACGCCAAGGCAGTGAGGCCCACCTGGGTGAATCCACGCACCTGAACGGCCACCTGAAAGGCAGTGAGGCCCACCTGGGTGAATCCGCGCACGCGGAAGAGCCCGTGCATCGTGCCCGAACGCTCATAGCGGTACACTGTGCCCAACTCCGCCCACCTGTGGGGGGTGTGGAAGGGTGTTGGGGGGAGGAATAAGAACGAGAGAGGTGCGGGAGAAACAGAAGAAGAGCCCGTGCATTGTGCCCGAACGCTCATAGCGGTACACTGTGCCCAACTCCGCCCACCTGAGCGCATGGGATGTGGGGGGGTGGGAAGGGGGAAGAGGACAAGAAGGGGAGGATGGGCCTTGAGCCTGGGCAGCAGCGGACGTCCTTGAAGACAGGCGGAGAACCCGGCGGCCGCTTCACCCTGAAGATCCACATGCCACTGACGATGTTCGCCCCAGGAGGGGGGACAGCGTCAACGTAGGTGCCTGTGGACTTCCAGGAAGCCATCTCTGCATCCATAGCTGCCTGCCACTGAGAGGAGTAGGGACCCTCTATCGCCTCCGCGTAAGAGCGCGGAGTCGGGATGTCAAGTGCATCCGGGTCTCCCTCAGGGGTAAGCAGTACGGACACAAGATGAGGTGAGGCAGCTGCCAGACACTGGAACTCCTCCTGCCTGTCCTCAAGGACGTCCGTGCCAAGGGCACACTCACCCCCGACGGACGGAGGACAGACAGACTCAGACTCAGCGACAAGACTAGCAGCGTAGTCTAAGCGACAGCGAGCAGCAAAGGCGACGAGCTCAGTAACGAGAGCAGACGCAGCAGTAGACTCGAAAGAAGGGTCAGTGACAACAGTAGCAAGGAGACGCGTGACAGTAGGACTGGCAGCACGAAGAGAGTCCGACTCCGGGTCGGCAAGAGCAGGAAGAGAGGACTCAGGAGGAGAAGGCAAAGGGGCACGCAGAGGAGCAGTGGACGGACGCAGAGACATCCGGTGCGTGCCAGGGACAGGAGGAGGACGCTGACGCGAACCGCGACCACTAGTGCGAGCAGCACGGACAGGCGACGCAGGGCGAGACGCAGGCTCACGACGCTCAGTCAGACCTCCAGTAGGACCAGTGTAGGGAGAAGGAGCAGGCAAAGGGGAGGTAGGCTGCAACTGTAGCTGGGACGAGACAGGCTGTGGACACTCTAAGGGAGGAGGAAGACCAGTAGAGGGTGGAAGACCAAGAACCTGCTGCAGGAGTGGCACGAAGTACGGTCGAGGCCGCGCGGCGACGCTAGAAGCAGCCGGGACAGCACCAGAACCCTCAGCAGGAGCACCCGCTCCAGCAGCACCACCAGTAGCTCCAGAACCTCCAGCAGCACCAGGAGCACCCCCAGTAGGACTGCCAGCAGTAGTCTCAGCGCCAGCACCCTCAGCAGCACCAGCTCCAGTGCACCCAGGACGAGCACCTCTGGGACCCGCGACCGCAGCACCCTCAGCAGCCGAAGGACCTCCAGCACCAGCAGCACGCCTCCAGCGCCGGGCAAACCACTCACGCAGCTCCTGTGGAGAAAGTGGCTCCCGGCGAGACGAAGCACTCGGAGAACCTCCAGGCGAAGCACCTCCAGGCTCAGCGCCCCCAGGGGTAGCACCCCTAGGCTCAGCACCCCCAGACGTAGTACCCCTAGGCTCAGCACCCCCAGGCTCAGCACCCCCAGGCTCAGCACCCCCAGGCTCAGCACCCCCAGGCTCAGCACCCCTAGGCTCAGCACCCCCAGACGTAGCACCCCCAGGCCCAGCACCCCTAGGCTCCCCACCCCCAGGTACAGCACCCCCAGCCTCAGCACCCTCAGCAGCACCAGAGTCACCAGTGACCTCGACAGGCTCGACCGCGTCTACCTGGGACACACCTGAAGGGGCTGGACCCTGAGGGGGGAGGGGGTCTACCTGGGGGGGACCTGGTACCAGGAAGAGTGGGGGTGGGGGGAGGGACGGAGTGCGGTAGGGGAAGAGGCGGTAGTAGGGGACCGACTCGTCAAATGTGACGTCCTGGGAGGACAGAACACGGCGAGAGGTGGGGTGGTAAAACTGCCACCCAGGCGCGTCAGGGGGGAACCCCAGGAAGACGCAAGGAGCAGCACGAGGGGATAGTTTGTCCGCAGACAGGTCGCGGACAAACGCCCGAGATCCCCAGACCCGGAACGCCGACGCATCGCCAACCTTCCCCGTCCACAGCAGGGCTGGGGAGGTCTCCGGCCTGGAGACCCTGGGGTGGAGGTTGATCTGATGCGCCGCGTACCGAACCGCAAACGGCCACAGAAAATGGGGGGCAGCCGCATGCATCATAGACGTACGAGCGACGTCCATGACCATGCCAATGCGGCGCTCAGCAATCCCATTTTGCTGCGGTGAGTCCGGAAGCGTGAAGGTCTGACGGATGCCCCGTGCACGACAGTAGGCACGCAGAAGGCCAGAGGAGAACTCTCCGCCTCTGTCCGAGTGCAGACGCAGAACAGGAAAGTCCGAGCCGAAGCTCTGCCTGAGCTGGAGACGAGCTGCGCGGATCCAGTCGATCAGCACCTCAGTGACATCACCCTTGCTGCGCAAGGGGAAGACTGTGGTGTAACGCGAGTAGTCGTCAACAACGAGCAGGAAGTAGCGCTCGTGACCCTGTCCACGGACGCGGGCTGGGCCCCACACGTCCATGTGAAGTGTCTGCAACGGGGCCTCTGTCGGAGGAAACTGGGAGGAGTGAGGGGCAGCACGCAGGCGCCCCTCGACACAGGGGACACAGGCAGGGCCAGGGCCCTGAGGAAGGGGAGGGAGGGACCGGGGGAGACCGGACACAAGAAGACGGGAGGCCATACCTCTGAGCCGAAGCAGAGAGGGGTGGCCAAGGCGGTGGTGCCAGAGGAGAGTCTCGTGAGACAGGAGACGACACGAACAGGGGGCAGACTCAGGACCAGACCTGGACGCCGCAGCAAACACCTGACCCGACGGAACTACCCTACCAGACTCAGCAACTGGAGGAGACGCAGTGGTCAGAGTGTACAGGCTCGACCCCGGCTGACGGGTGAACGTAGCCAGGTGACGGCCTGTGCCAGCCTCTGTACAGTGGGTCACTCTCTGACGTGCAGGAGTGAACTGGTGGACCCCCGCATCCTGTAGGTCAGCACCACTCACCAGGTTCGTACAGAACGAGGGGAGGTAGAGACCAGACAGGGTGCCAGAGGGAGCCGCCGGACACGGGAGGACTGTGGAGAAGCGAGACAGGACAGGACCCCCAGAGGGGTCAGCCAGAGACACTGCAACCGGTCGACTCAGCGGTGTGAGTGTGGTGCGGTCCCGAAAGAAGGAGCGAGACGCCCCAGAGTCAAGGGTGAAGGTGAGGGAGGCCGAAGCCGACGCAGTACCTGAGAGCGCAGACTCACCAGTACCTGAGGACGCAGACACACGAGCACCTAGAGCAGCAGCGTCGCAAGCACCTAGGGCAGCAGCCTCACCAGGACCTAGAGCAGCAGTCTCAATGCCCGGATCGGGCGGGAAACACCGGTAACAGTCACCCTCATCACTAATAGACACAGCATACATGGCAGAGAGAATAGCATCATAGTCAAGATCATAGATGGCAACACCCGCCCTAGACAGCTCGCCCCAGCGAGGGATCTCGGAGGCCTCCGGGAACTGGTGACGCCACGCGTCCGTCAGGCGGCCAAAGCAGCGCTGGGTGGGGTGGGGACCCCCACACTGCTCACCCGCACGGTCGCCAGTGCGCAAAACGTAGGAGCACGGACCAAAACCCCCACCCCGCTGACGCGCAGTGTACCACTCACGAAGCTGCTGAGGGGACAGGGTGTCACGACCACGCTGCTGCTGCTGGCGCGAGCCACCACCGGAGCCACTCCTCTGCGAAGACCCGCGACCAGCACCACCGCCACCCTCGCCGCCTCCGACGCCTCCGCCGCCTCCGCTACTGCCGCCGCCTCCGCCTCCGCCGCCGCCTCCACCTCCGCCACCTCCTCCACCTCCGCTCCCACCGCCACCGCCGCCGCCACCTCCTCCTCCACTGCCGCCACCGACCCCTCCACCCCCACCTCCACTCCCACCGCCACCCCCACTCCCCCAACTGCTGCCACCTCCACCTCCACCGCCCCCGCTCGCTCCTCCAGCGCCCTTGCCCCCCTTGCCCTTGCCAGAGCGGCGTCTCCCGCTAGGGGCAGACGCCGCACCGACCGACTCAAGAACAAGGAGGTCGGCCGCAGCAGCAGAGGCAACAGAGGGCAGAAGGGGGGAGGGGGAACACCCCTCAAAGATGGGGGTGCGCGGGTCACCACGAGAGGCCCCTACAGCGACTATGCTCTTCTCGGCCGCTAGGAGGGACTTCTCGAGGAGGTCAACAGTGAGAGTGGTGGGACAGACAGAGAGAAAGTGGTCCCTGACTACGCGAAGGGAGTCAGGAAGGCGAGTGACTATGTAGTAAAGAGTGATGTACATGGGGGGGGGGTTCCTGGCGCAGAAGTCAGGAGGGAGTGCAGCGCGGTAGCGAGTGTCACTAGTGCGGAGGTGCGTAATGAGGTCAGTGACTGTGGGAAAGGCAGTAAGATCAGGAAAGAGGTACGGTAGAATGAGACGGCTCAGTGCAGCAGTGGCAGGGGAGGAGTAGCGCGCAACTACAGCGTCGTACAAGGTCTGAGCACTCTTGTACTGACTAAAGTGCGCACGCTCGGAGGTAGGGAGGTGGCGACGCACAGCAAGACGTGCAGCAGCGTCGCGCGTGGCCCACTGGGAGCGAACAGTGGCGTCAGCATCAGCAGCAGGGGCAGTGGAGGTGCCAGAGGTGAGGTCAAAGAGAGAGAGGCCGTCTGCCCTATCGCACTGTAAGAACAGCTGCAGGTCATCTACCCAGACCTCAAAGTCAATGGCCCTACCCTCAGCGTCAAAGGCGAGAACACTAGGGGTAGCCATGACCCTAGACGACTAGCAGCGCAAACAGTGGGGTGAGGACAGTGCAGTGAAAAGGCGCTGTGCTCACCAGACTGGGCAGGTCGAGCGGCCCTGAAGGAGGGCGGCGCGGCGGCTCGGCGGCTCAGCTGCTGGGCGGCCCGGCGGCTAGGCGGCTCCGCTGCTGGGCGGCTCGGCTGCTGGGCGGCTCGGCTGCTGGGCGGCGCGGCCGCTGGGCGGCTCGGCTGCTGGGCGGCTCGGCTGATGGGCTGCTCGGCTGCTGGGCGGCTCGGCGGCTCGGCTGCCGGGCGGCTCGGCTGCTGGGCGGCTCGGCGGCTCGGCTGCTGGGCGGCTCGGCTGTGCTGCTGCAGGGCACGGGGCCGCAGGTAAGGGCGGCGGGGCCGCTGGTAAGGGCGGCGTGGCCGCGGGTAGGGTGGCGGGGCCGCAGATAGGGTGGCGGGGCCGCAGGTAAGGTGGCGGGGCCGCAGGTAAGGTGGCGGGGCCGCAGGTAAGGTGGCGGGGCCGCAGCAGAGGGCGGCGGGGCCGCAGGTAAGGTGGCGGGGCCGCAGGTAAGGTGGCGGGGCCGCAGCAGAGGGCGGCGGGGCCGCAGGTAAGGGCGGGGCCGCAGGGAAGGTGGCGGGGCCGCGAGGAAGGGCGGCGGGGCCGCTAGGTAGGGCGGCGGGGCCGCGCGATGGGGCGGCGGGGCCGCGCGATGGGGCGGCGGGGCCGCGCGATGGGGTGGCGGGGCCGCGAGGAAGGGCGGCGGGGCCGCGCGATGGGGCGGCGGGGCCGCGCGATGGGGCGGCGGGGCCGCGCGATGTGGCGGCGGGGCCGCTAGGTAGGGCGGCGTGGCCGCGCAATGGGGCGGCGAGGCCGCGAGGTAGGGCGGCGGGGCCGCGGAGACGGGTGGCGGGGCCGCAGTGCAGGGCCGCTAGGGCGGCTCGACGAAGTGAGGGCCCGGAGCGCGACTCGGGCTGAGCGCGCTTCGGGCAGGAAAAAAAATCGATGTGGTGGGCCCTAAGCACAGTTCCCAAGGGGGAACCTGCTCGATACCATAAGAAGATTTGAGCAAGAATGAATGAACTATGAAATGAAGTGAGTACAAATATGAAACCCTAATTGGTTGTACCCCCTATGGGATACCCCACTATAGCCTACACAACAGTATAAGCTATAATGTTCTGACATCGATGGCTCCGACAAAGGAGGAAAGGGGGGGGGGGAGGGAGGGGGGGTGGGAGGTGGGGGGGGTTGGGGGGGAGGGGGGGGGGGAGAGATAAGCGCGTAACAAAGTTTAATCAAAAGAGATACAGTAATGAAGTTACAGACCTCGGAGTCTGTGACTGGCAGCAGGCGCAGCTGAGTGGGCGCAAACCAGAGGGGGAAGTCGCCCGCGTAGTTCTCAATGAGGATGCCAAAGAACCGCTCCAGGGACCCAAAGATGGCGCGGTGGATCATGATGGGCGGGCGGCGAGTGCCGTCCGCATCCGCATAGACCATGTTGAAGCGGTGCGGCAGATTGAAGTCCACCTGGCAGAAGGTTATTGGAGGAAGGGAGTCACGCAGTTCTTATTTTTTATTCAATGGTGTAAAGTTCTTGTTTTTTATTCAATGGTGTAAATAACTCCCTTGCCGTGACATGTGGAGACGTGAAGACATGGAAGTGTGAATCAAAGCGGACCTGGATGGTGGAGCACTGCCACTTGCGGCCAATGGCATCCATGATCTTCACATCTATCTTGGGCCCATAGAACGCTCCTCCACCCTCATCCACGGTGTAATCCCACCCCTTGTCTTGCAGCGCCTCCCTCAGCGCCTGGTGAAATGATTCAGAGGGAAGGACACGACACAAGCAGTGTGTAAACACATAGGCACTGACATATGAACACACTCCCACCCTCATCCACGCTCAACTCCCGTCCCTAGTATGCAGGGCCTACCTCAATGCCTGTTATAGCCATTCAGAGGGAAGAACACAAGCGGTGTGTAAGCACACACACACACACACACACACACACACACACGCACGCACGCACGCACGCACGCACGCACGCACGCACTCACGCATGCACGCACGCACGCACGCACACGCACACACACACACACACACACACATCTATCAATGGACCTCTCTGGCCACGTGGACAGCAGAATATCCAGCTGCTGGAAACCAGAGAGCACACCCGCGAACACATGCACTTCCACAAGCTGCCCTCCTCCATTCGTACCATCCCATCTCCCTACCTGCCAACCCCTCTCTCCCCACCCCCCGCACACAACACCTGAGTGGCCTGCTCCCAAAGAACATCATCCTTAACCATGTTTTCGGGCCGTGTGGAGAGGCTGATCTCCAGCTGCTGGGAGCCAATCAAACCTGCAAAGACATGCCTCTACAAGTGCCTCCCATACCCTCCTACCTGAGTGGCCTGCTCCCAGATGGCGTCATCCCCGACGGATTTCTCCGGGCGGGTGGAGAGGTTTATCTCGAGCTGCTGGAAGCCAAAGAGCACACCCGTGTGCCTTTGCCTGTGCCTGCCCCAACCTACCTGCGTGGCCTGCTCCCAGACTCCCCAACAGACTTCTCTGGCCGAGTTGAGAGGTTGATCTCGAGCTGCTGGAAGCCAAGAGACGTGGGAACACATGCCTCTCCACGTGCCTCCCCTCCCACCCCCCCAGCCTCCCCCTTTCACATGTGCAGCCTGCTGTAACCCCCTTACCTGCGTGGCCTGCTCCCAGATGGCGTCATCCCCGACAGACTTCTCCGGGCGGGTGGAGAGGTTGATCTCGAGCTGCTGGAAGCCAAAGAGCACACCCCTTGTGCCTGCCCTCCCTTACCCGAGTGGCCTGCCTGCTGTCGTAAGCCCCGTACCTGAGTGGCCTGCTCCCAGATGGCATCATCCCCAACAGACTTCTCCGGGCGGGTGGAGAGGTTGATTTCCAGCTGCTGGAAGCCAAAGTCCGTCAGCATCGCCTCTGTGAGGTCCAGCACCCCACGGATCTCGTCCCTGATTTGGGAGGGCAGACAGAAGATGTGTGCGTCGTCCTGTGAATGGGGGGGGAAGAGCGGGGTGGGGGGGTTGGGGAATGGGTGGGGGAGGAGTGGGATGGCGAGGGAGGGCTGAGTGTCAGAATTGCCTCTGTGAGGTCCAGCACGCCGCGGATCTCATCCCTGATCTGAGTTGGCAGACAGAAGATGTGCGCGTCGTTCTGTGTGCGAGGAACGAGGAAGGCAGGGGGGCTGGGAGCCAGGGGGGGAAGAGGCGGGGGATGGCGTGGGTGTGGGTGTGTGAGCATGGCCTCTGTGAGGTCCAGCACACCGCGCATCTCGTCCCGATTTTGAGAGGGCAGGCATAAGATATATGCGTCGTCCTGTGTGGGTGGGTGGGTGGGTGGGTGGGTGGGTGGGTGTGTGGGTGGGTGGGTGGGTGGGTGGGTGTGTGGGTGGGTGGGTGGGTGGGTGGGTGGGTGGTGTGGGTGGGTGGGTGGGTGGGTGGGTGGGTGGGTGGGTGGGTGGGTGGGTGGGTGGGTGGGTGGGTGGGTGGGTGGTGGGTGGGTGGGTGGGTGGGTGGGTGGGTGGGTGGGTGGGTGTGTGTGTGGGTGGGTGGGTGGGTGGGTGGGTGGGTGGGTGGGTGGGTGTGTGGGTGGGTGGGTGTGTGGGTGGGTGGGTGGGTGGGTGGGTGGGTGGGTGGGTGGGTGTGTGGGTGGGTGGGTGTGTGGGTGGGTGGGTGGGTGGGTGAGGCATGTCACGTGGGATGGACGGGCGGGAATGGCTACTCTCTGTGCTGAAAGTGGCTCCCAGGGCACGGATACTCAGCAGGTGGAAGCGGCCCAAAGCAGAGAGTGCACCCGGGGTAATCCCACTTGAATGATCACCTGAATGACTGCAGCAATGTTACCCGTGAGAATCTTCAAAAGCTACCCCCCAGCGCCACCTTCCCCCCCCTTTACGCCACCCACCCCCTAGCGATACGCCAAGGCAGTGAGGCCCACCTGGGTGAATCCACGCACCTGAACGGCCACCTGAAAGGCAGTGAGGCCCACCTGGGTGAATCCGCGCACGCGGAAGAGCCCGTGCATCGTGCCCGAACGCTCATAGCGGTACACTGTGCCCAACTCCGCCCACCTGTGGGGGGTGTGGAAGGGTGTTGGGGGGAGGAATAAGAACGAGAGAGGTGCGGGAGAAACAGAAGAAGAGCCCGTGCATTGTGCCCGAACGCTCATAGCGGTACACTGTGCCCAACTCCGCCCACCTGAGCGCATGGGATGTGGGGGGGTGGGAAGGGGGAAGAGGACAAGAAGGGGAGGATGGGCCTTGAGCCTGGGCAGCAGCGCTGATAGCGGTACACCGTGCCCAGCTCCGCCCACCTGCGTGGGGTGATGGGTGGTGTGAGGATGAGATGTGGGGTGTGGGGTTGAGAGGAGGAGAGGGTGAGATGGGGCATGGCATGGCATGGCGTGGCACCCACCTGATGGGGAGGCACCCACCTGATGTGGAGGCACCCACCTGATGGGCAGGTCACGGTAGGAGTGCACGGAGTCGTTGTAGAGCATGATGTGGAAGGGGCAGTTCATGGGGCGGTCGCACCTGATCGAGAGGTGGCACTTACCTGATGGGGAGGTGGCACCTGATGGGGAGGTGGCACCTGATGAGGAGGTCAGGTTCGGTAAGCACCTTATAGGCAGGTCGCGGTAGGAGTGCAGCGAGTCGTTGTAGAGCATGATGTGGAAGGGGCAGTTCATGGGTCGGATCTGATAATGCTCCTCCTCCACCTCCATCTGATGGGAATGGAGGGGGGAAAGGGGAGGGGCCGATGGAGGGAGGGGTTGGGGGAAAGGAGGCGGGAGGGAGGGATGTGGAAGGGACAGTTCATGGGGCGGATCTGGTAGTGCTCCTCCTCCACCTCCATCTGATGGGGTGTGTGTGTGGGGAGGGAGGGGAGTGGGGATGTGAGGGGAGCGGGAGAGGGAAAGGGAACAGCAAGCGGGCATATGAGTGAATGTGTGAACATGCACAATATTTAGTGCGTTTACGCCCAAATCACGTGACACTTTCACACTCAGTCAATGCCAGTCAACGCTGGTCAACGCTGGTCAACGCCGGTCTCACCTGGTCAAACATGTTTTCCCGGTAGAACTCGTAGTGCCCGCTGGTCTTCCACAGGTCCAGCTTGGCCATGTGCGGCGTGTACAGCAGCTCGTACCCCCGCCGAAGGTGCTCCTTCCTCCAGTCAACGCCAGTCAACGCTGGTCAACGCTGGTCAACGGCAGGCTCACCTGGTCAAACATGTTTTCCCGGTAGAACTCATAGTGCCCGCTGGTCTTCCACAGGTCCAGCTTGGCCATGTGCGGCGTGTACAGCAGCTCGTACCCCCGCCTCAAATGCTCCTTCCTCCAGTGCTCCTCTATCATCGCCCTTACTCTCGCCCCCCTGGGATGCCAGAACACCAATCCTCCACCCGCGTCCTCCTGTTACAAAAGGCGAGTGAAACAGTGCAGAAAGGGGGGTTGTCAGTACAGCTGGCACAGCAGCTCGTCTCATACTCTCGCCTCATATGCTCCTTCCTCCAGTGCCCCCCTCAGGTGCCAGAACACCAATCCTCCCCCTGCGTCCTCCAGTAAATAGGGAATGTTACAGTGGGGTGGGGAAACAGGGAATGTTACAGTGGGGTGGGGAAATAGGGAATGTTACAAGGGAGGCTACAGCAGCTCGTACCCCCGCCTCAGGTGCTCCTTCCTCCAGTGCTCCAGTCAACTCAAAACACGCCTGTGGGGAAGCCTTGCCCAACCTCCGGTGGTCCCTCCGTTTCGCCTCCTCCACCTGCTGCTGGTACTGCAGCAGCTGCGCGTCACTCTCCCAATTCAATGGCCCAAGGCGTCAGCCTTAAAGGACCCACCCAGAAAGTCACAGCACCCTACCTGAATGGAGAACAGCCCGAGCTCTTTCCCCAATCGGCGGTGGTCCCTGCGCTTGGCCTCCTCCACCTGTTGCCGGTACTGCAGCAGCTGCGCCTCGCTCTCCCAATTCAATACCCCAGACCAGAGCATGAAAGGACCCACCCACCCACACACACACAGCAGCAGCAGCTCACCTGGATGGAGAACAGCCCCAGCTCCTTGCCCAACCTCCGGTGGTCCCTGCGCTTGGCCTCCTCCACCTGCTGCCGGTACTGCAGCAGCTGCGCCTCGCTCTCCCACGCCGTGCCGTAGATGCGCTGCAGCATGGCCCTCGTCTCATCCCCCCGCCAGTTCGACGACACCCCACCGACACCTGCGCAGCAGTTGGCTCCCACTCCACGTGAAGTTCACAGAAGCGCCAACTTCACCGCCGCCTTTTACTCCAACTCCGACCTGCACAGGCTCTCACCCGGACATCGTGCAAGCGAATCCCTGTGGCATGAACGACTGGGTCATCCAAGCAACACCACGTTAAACAATACAATCAAGGCAGCAGTGCTCGACAAAGACTCACTCCTTCTACCCGACGGCAGAGAACTCCAACGAGTCCGTGGAACATGTTTTACCTATCCCGAAGCCGACTTACCGCATCAACCGTTCGTCTCTCACCACAATCCAAGCATGCCAGCCTATGCACCACTCGAGAAAGTATACAGCGACATTCTGTATACTCGCGAACAAGGACAAGGAGCATATAATTACGTGATTACTTTCATCGACGCCGCCACCCGTTACGTCTGGCATCTTAATCTCCCAAGTCGCGACATGGCCTTCGAAGCCTTCGTCGCCTGGCTACATGTGGCAGAACGAGAATCAGGAGCAAAGCTGAAAAGCTTCCAGTCTGACGGAGGAGGGGAATATCAGTCCCAGAGGTTCAGGCAGTACCTCGCAGAACGAGGCATCAAGCGACTCATCTCGCTTCCCTACGCCCATCAACAGCAGGGCGTGGCAGAACGGATGAACAGAACTCTCTAGAACACCATGCGCTAATTGTTGCGTGGCATGCGACTGCCCAATCACCAGTGGCCTGAGGCGATGGACGACGCTGTCATGCTGCACAACTTGCTCTCATCGTCGTCACTTCCGAACAACGCATCACCGCACCTGCTGTGGACAGGAAAACTGGGCAACACAAAAATGTTACGAGTTTTCGGGTGCATGGTACAGTACCGCCCGCACACTGCAAGAGCCGGAAGATTTTCTCAACGCGCACAGTGGGGACTACACCTGGGCATAAAAAAGCATTACAACGCATGGAAGATTTTTTACGTCCACTCGAAGGAAACAGTAGCAGCACGTTATGTCATCTTCTACGAGCGACTCACACTTCAAACGTACCTGGACAACCTGGCAGCAAATCGAGACCTCACGGGCGGCTTCCATGGCAACCGAGCCTTTGCTTTAGCAGCAGACGAAGCTGAATGGGACGAGAAAAACGTGGACAACGCATCCGAGGAAGCAGGATCACTCCCATACTGCTCCGTGCCCATCCCGATGGATGACGAAAATCCTCGCGAAAGTGTCAATGCCGAAACTTACTTCGACTTCGCTGACACCGGTTACGTTACACCTCAACCGGTCGACACCAACATCTCCGAATGCATAGGACCGAATTTCTTACCAGACCCCGAAGCAGGAGACGAAGAAGCTTATCCAGAGGACACAAATCTCCCCCGCTACACACAGAGTGGCTTGCAGATACTGGGACTCGTCACCGCTGTCCACGGAGTAAAACCACCTAAGGAGCCTGCTACCATTCAGCAGGCTCCGGGGGGGGAACACAAGGAAAAATGGCGTGAAGCCATGGACAAAGAGTTAAAGGCGCTGCAAGAACGCAACACCTGGAAAGTCGTGCCTATCGAAGTGGCACGCAACAAGACCATCCTCACCGGAAAATGGGTTTTCCGCGTGAAAACAAAAGCTGACGGAACAATCAACAAAATCAAAGCACGCTGGGTTGTGCGTGGCTTCGACCAAAAGCAAGGGCAAGACTTCACGGAAACATTCGCCCCAGTAAGCCGACATACCTCACTGCAGATTCTCCTCGCGATAGCCGCCATGAACCGGAAGAAGCTTCGGCAGATCGACGTCGCCAACGCCTTCCTCTACGCTCCCGTCGACGCTGAGATTTTCGTCGAACTCCCGCATGGGTCCAACGCAGGCCCAAACCAAATTTGTCAGCTGGAGAAATCGCTGTACGGGATCAAGCAAGCCCCGAGACTGTGGTAGCAGCACCTTCACGCCCGCCTAATCCGCATCGGATTCCTTCAACTTCCGCACGACCAAGGGATGTAACGACTGACGAAAGGCACCGACTACATTCTACTCATCGTCTACGTCGATGACCTCCTCTACATAGGCTCTACCGACACCATAACGACATGGTTTGTAGGGGAGCTGCAGCGGGATCTCACCCTCACCGTCGCAACTACCGTAACACAGTACCTAGGACTGTATATCCAAGACGGCGACGATGCAATCTACCTCAGCGCTGCAAAGTACACAGACACTATCGCTAAACGCTTCGGACTCACTCCAACCGCTATCTCCACGCCATACCGCTACACCGACGGAAATCGAAAAGCCTCCGCCCTACTCAAATCTGCCGGCATCCGCAACTACCAAAGGAAATTAGGCTGCCTACTCTTCGCAGCCGTCACCTGTCGACCGGACCAATCTTACTCAGCTAGCCAACTCGCTACCTACCTCAAGAAGCCTGAAGCAGAGCACATTCTCGAACTCGACCGAGCACTTCACTACCTTGTCAGCACTCCTACGATCGGACTAACCTACCACGAGACCAGCACTACGACACCTAAGCTAATCGGTTACGTCGACGCCGATCACGCTGGAGACTCCGACAACAGACGATCTCGAACCGGCTACGTCTACAGACTCGAACCTATCGGGCCTATTTCATGGCAGTCGAACAAGCAAGAGCTAATCGCTCTCTCCTCAGCAGAAGCAGAATATATCGCACTCTGCTCAGCCACCAAGGAAGGGCTATATCTTCGCGAATTACTGGAGGAAGCAAAATTGGCCTAGTTACCCAACTTCTCTCTCTTCTGCGACAACCAATCGGCTATTCGCATAGCGAACAAAAACGGGTTCGCGAATCGAACGAAGCACATCGCCCTTCGGAACTTCTTCGTAAAAGACGAAATCGAAAACGGAAGACTCGAGCTATCCTACTGTCCCACATCCAAGATGGCAGCTGATTACTTGACCAAGAAACTCGGAAAACAGAAGTTCGAGTACTGCATGTGAGAAGAAACGAGGAATGAGAATGACTAGGTGAAAGTTGGGTACAAGAAGCAAACCCTAGAAAACCTGTACCCCATATGTGCTACCCCACTATAGCCTACAGTAGTTATGTCATATAAATCTGACACACCCCCATAGGCAAAGTGGGGGAGAACAAGGGGTCACAAGACCAGTCAAGCAAAGCAAAGCAAAACAAGCTCAGGGTGGATCACAAAGTCACCACACATTCCGAGCACAAGTTCAAGGCCACAAGGCCAGTTCACAAGCAGGAGTACACATATATATAAAAAGGCTAGACAAACAAGAGCAGGTATATATATATGTAACAGTACAAGCAAGGTCAAGAGGTGAGCAAGTGAGGCAAGGTAGGCACAAGGCCCAGCTGAGTACAGAAGCGCTGATGGTCACAAGGCGCAAGTGCCTTGGTGAAGATATCAGCAGTGTTGGCCTCAGAGGCCACGTACGCAAGACGCAGCTGACCACGCTGCTGCAGCTCACGAGCAAGAAAGTAGCGGAGAGCAATGTGCTTCGTTCTGTGCTCCAGTCGCTGCTCCCGACACAAGGCCAGCATGGCCTTGTTGTCTACGTACAGCACTGGAGGAGAACGAGGCAACTCTCCGAGGTCAGTCAGCAGGTAGGTGAGCCAGCGAAGCTCCTGTGCAGCCATGGCTCCTGCGTAGATCTCAGCCTCACAACTGGAGCCGAGAACAGAAGACGAGCGAGTAGCCCGCCACGAAACAGAGCCGGAACCAAGGCTGAAGGTGTAACCCTTTGACGACCGCTGCGTAGCCTGGTCGTCAGCCCAAGAAGCGTCTGCGTGCCCAGTAAGGACCACTGGACTCTGCCCTCCAAGCACAAGCCCCATGCCCGACGTACTGCACAAGTAGTGCAACACCCTCTTCGCTGCAGCCATGTGCTCCGGTCTGTGTCTCCCAGGAGCAACATAGCGTGCAAGAATGCTAAGAGGGTATGCAAGGTCAGGTCGTGTGCAGGTCATCAGGTACATGAGGCAGCCAACAAGCTCTGGGTACGGGCCACTCGACTCTACGGACTCATCCGAAGGCAGAGCTGAGAGCGAGTGGCGAGTAGGCAGAGGAGTGGCCTGAGGCGAGGAGTACGTGAAGCCGAAGCGCTGAAGGACCTGCTGCACCATGTGTGACTGAGTCAGGGTAATGGTGCGGCGTGCTCTGTCCCGAGTGATCTGCAAGCCAAGGTAGCTGCGCAGTTCACCCAGGTCAGTGCACATGTGTCTCTTCTGCAGCTCGGACTTCACGTGGGCTAGTCCAGCAGTGTCAGCTGTGGCAAAGACCAAGTCGTCGACGTACACGAGGATGTAGAACGGCGGCAAAGAAGTGTCGGTGCGCAGAAACAGCGACGGGTCGGCAGTAGAGGGAGCAAACCCAAGAGCCGCAAGTATAGTCCTCAGTGTGTCGTGCCACTCACGCGGTGCCTGGCGGAGACCGTAGACTGGCCGCCGTAGGCTCCACTGGGTGCCAGGAGGAAAAGACCCAGTGAAGCCAGGTGGGCGACGCAGCCAGATCTCCTCGTGCAGGCTGCCCTGCAAGAAAGCAGTGCTGAAGTCAAGAGAGTGTAGCTCGTAGTCACGGTGAGCAGCTACGTGCAGCAGTACCCGAAGAGTGGTCATCTTCGGGGTGGGAGAGAAGGTCTGAAAGTAGTCAACTCCCTGCCGCTGACTGAAGCCACGAGCCACGTAACGCGCCTTGAAGACAGGCGGAGAACCCGGCGGTCGCTTCACCCTGAAAATCCACATGCCACTGACGATGTTCGCCCCAGGAGGGGGAACAGCGTCAACGTAGGTGCCTGTGGACTTCCAGGAAGCCATCTCTGCGTCCATAGCTGCCTGCCACTGAGAGGAGTAGGGACCCTCTATCGCCTCCGCGTAAGAGCGCGGAGTCGGGATGTCAAGTGCATCCGGGTCTCCCTCAGGGGTAAGCAGTACGGACACGAGATGAGGTGAAGCAGCGGCCAAGCACTGGAACTC